CCCTCTTGCTCCCTCTCGTGTCTCCCTTTGGCATCCCTGTGGTGCTCAGTACTCCGCAGTCAGCTTTTGCTGTCTAGAATACGCCACTAAAGCTCTAAGTACATCTTCCCAAGACTTTGTACTTAGCTGTGGTGCTGTCACTGCATTGCTGTAAAGCTCCTGCTACCCAAACACAGGACGAGCACAGACATTTCCAGTACCTTTTGCCTTCATCACAAATAGTTTGGAACTGAAGAGAAAATTTTGTCGTGAGAATGCAGTGAATATACAGTGAGAATGCAGTGAATTGCAAAACGATATAAAAGCGTTACATTTAATTGGATATGCGTCATTGTTTCCGTTCCCATGACTTTGTGGGACTATACTCCACATAGGAAGAGCTGTGACTATAACTATGAGCTTGGTAATTCTCCGCAATTGTTTTCAGCACCATAGATCGCTCCAGGCCCAGCAAGTCAGCACTCCGTCTCCTTAAAGCTATGTAGCAAAATCATTTTTATTTCATAGGTTGATATTGAAGTCTATTAAAATCCTCACCTTCTGTCTAATGGATGCTGAGCTCATTAGGAGAACATCAGCATTGGTCATTGGTTTAAATGCTTAAAACAAACTACGCTTCCACTTTCCTGACAAGCTTCTTGTGTTAGTGTGAATAATGACAGTCCTCTCTACGCAGCAAAGGAAGGGGTATTGTGACATTGTAATACTGCCTTTAAAAAGTATTACAGAACAGGTCAGGTTGGATTGTTTGAGACACAAAGTCTGTAACTTTCTGGAGTCATGATGGAATTTAATGAGGCCACATTTCTAGCTTTTTTTTGGCTGTACTTCTCTTAGATATGGTCAAACGCTGTTCCTGGGGCACTTGTAATAGTTACATTCGCTACCCAGAGTGGTTGAAAGGAGATGTACGATTTATTCTCTTTCCAAAACCTGAAATAAATCCAGAAAAATGTCGGCTGCTGATCGTTCTTAATGTAATGTTAGTTAGCTAACGCTACCTAACTTACTACTGAATGTAACACAATAAAGTGCTACTGTTCTGCTTTTTAATGATTGTAATAATGAATAGAGGCCTACCCAGCTTTACAAGAACAGTGTTGATCCTTAATATCGTTGTCTTTTGTCTCAATCGTTGGGGGATGTGGTGGCTCACTTGTACTGTGTGAGAGGTAGGCTTTAGCTTCTATCTTTCATTTTTTTTCACATCCGTTTGAGTCAGTTTGTCAGCATGAATACAACCTTCAAATGTATAATGCAAAACTGTCTGCTTCTTTCTGAGATCGCGCTTTCCAACAAATTTGACAATATTTCTCCGGGGATTGCAGTAATAGACAGTGGCAGCGGCGACAGTTTGTTGGACTTAGCAACAGTAACTAAGGGGGGCGGGCCTTAGAGAAGGGTCAATTACAGAAGTGGTACATCTGAAAGGCTCTTTTTTTTTAGTTTTAGTACTATATAGTTTGGACTTTGGTTTAATGGAAGTTTTGAACCTAATCACTTGGAAGGTTAGTATAATTTTAATGGACATGTAATCATGGGTTTCAGGAGATACTGCATTTATTTAATTTGATGCTAGGCTAGAGTAAAAACATGCCTATTCTCCAGTGGCTGTCTGCATTTAATTAATTTAGTCATTACCAGCTGTCCTTATTATTAGTCTCCAGTGGACATCCATGGCTTAGCCCAGTAATGTGACTCCAGTTCAATTACATGGAGTTGTGGGAAAAATATTAAGACATTTACTGTTCATAAATTACCATACAACTCATGTACTGGATGTAGATTATTTCCTAATTGAAAATCTGTATTTTTTTTATCTCTCCTACCACAATTTCATGTCACATACTTAACGTAACTACTGAAAGATTATATGAGCTCACTGCACACAGCAGGTCCGCATAACCCATAGGCATCCATAACATAGTACTGCAGCAGAAAGAGAGGGAGGGCAAGGGAGCGGGGGACAGGGAGGCCAAGATAGTGACAAAGCAATGAAAGAGACAACATGAAAATGGGAAAGCAGTGGAGAAAAATTGTACAACGATGGAGAAAGGAAGCAAGAAAGAATTGTTGGGAGGAGGGGGGGAGGAGAAGCAGGATGATTGGAGAGAATGTTTGTGAAACTCCCAGCAGAGACTGAAGTTTCATCTCATTACCTGAGAGGGGCAGCAGAGATGCAGCTTTTGTATGGCTACTTTATGTGCCCCTATTTACACAGACCAACAAAGACTAATCATCTTTTTCTTTCTTTCTCTCAAACACCCCCACAGGCATGTTTCTTCCTTCGCCTTGCCCTCCCTTTCTCACCATATATTTGGCAAACAAAAAGATAAAAGGAAAAAGGCTGAGCTTAAAATTGGTGCCGAATTGGTATTTCTCTTCTAGAGTCAAACACAACGAGCAGACAAGCACCACTCCTGAGAGCCAACCTCCTCGACCACCTCCATGTTCAGTCACCTCCTTCTTTAATAGGCAGTGTTGAACTAGCAGGTGATCTGCACTGACAGAGTGAAGGCACAGCTTGTAGCAAAGCCTAATTGGTGTGGACTGACTTCAGAGAGAGTGTAGCCACTCAGTGGTTGAGTGGTTGGGGGAGGTGGCAAGGCCATAGAGCATGGTAGGACATACAGTGTAAGGATCGTACAGTGTGGAACAGGGGCTTCTTTCTCTTTCTCACGGGCCTTTTTAATCATTATCAAGGGTGTCCTGATGGTTCAGGTGACATGCTGAGCCTCGTACGTGTTACGTCAAACATCGAACCTGGCTCAAGGCCTTTCTTGTGTGTGATCTTCACTCAGAGATAGGATGTTGCACCACAACCAAAGTGAGAATTTAATAATCTTGTCCCTCTAAACCAAGTGTAGCCTATATTTTTCTTATGAAAAGTTTGGCTGTACATTTGGGAAAGATTCAAACACAAATAAGTAACTATACAGATGTGCAAATGTGCAATAAAAATATAAATGCATAAACACAGATGTGTAGTAGTGGTAGTATTCTTGACATTTGGCTGAAATGTCTCTGATGCTGACACAGCCAGTGCCAGGGAGGAGTGACGCCCCAGAGGCAGGACTCAGTGTTCACTCTGACTCATCAGCACGTGTACACACGCGCGCGCACACACACACACAGTCAGAGGCTCCTCTATGTTGACATTAGGGGGTCTTCCCCATCTCTCATCCCTGTAGAGCTTAGTACAGCTCATCCAGCAGAGTGTGCATCCATCGCTGCAGGGCACGCTGTTAGAGGAACTGTATGTGTGAGTCACATGCTGCAGGGGAGGGATTTTTGAAGCCAAACTATACACAGATACGTGTCTGTCTATAGTTAGTCCATATGTTGTATGTGTGTGTGCATGGTATGCCCTTTCCCCTGCCTTCTTCCCTGTTTCTTCTTCAACACCAACTCCATGTGCTGCGACTGAAATCAACCGTCATTTTTATGCTTTAACATAGCTGTAGAATGTTAGTTTTAGGCATTAAGAAAGTAGTGTGGGAGGGTGAGAATGTAGGAGTAGAGAGACAGAAAGCGAGCGCAATTTGCAGGCATGTTGTGAATCTCACTGACCTACATGGGGGAACTCAATTGGGTGAGTGAACGCACTTACACAGTTTCATAAGGGACCATTTAGAGTGAGAGATGATAACAAAGCAGCTCACATTAGTGCCAAAGTAACTGTCACTGCCTTGTTGGCTTTGGCCACTGGAGCAGATATGTTGATAGTACACCTTCCATCAACAACTAAGGAAATTAAATTGATTTGGACAAACAAAATAGGGCTTTTAGAAGTCGGTTACAAGTGTTTTGGACAAAGTATAGGTTTGACTTCATCCAAGAGTTAAAATTTCCTCTGAGTCTCAATTTTCCTTAAGGGCAGTTAATCTACTCTGGAGCAAGCTACTGCCAAATACGTGAACAAATAGTGAACTTACTTGTTTTCTTGCTCACTTAATTAGGCTTTCTCTCGCCAAATAGCCTCCAGAAGTCTCCTGATCACCTCGTGTAGGCCACACTGGGTGTTCTCCAATTGAGCCTCAGAATGAGCTGTCCCTCCAAGGAACAAAGCTTCTGTCTGCCTGAGCTCTTTAGTCTGGTGTTAAGATCTGCCCCAGCCATCCATTGCCAAGCTTGTCATCATAACAAGCTTACAGTGTAAACGGCTAAGATTAAGCTAGATATTGGCAGTACACTGCAGTGCCCCTGTTTGTTAGCTTCACTGTAATCTGATATGCAGGATGATGGATTCTAAATGTTGGAGCTGGAACAGTTGGATAGCAGCATGTCAATATTTGGTCAGCGTTGGTCAGTGTGTAACGCTGGACTTACACTGATATAATCCAGACAAACAGCAGATTGTAGTGACAGTAGATGCTGGTATTTATGTTTGTGTCTGGGTTGCAGCCAGTCTTGGAATCAGTATGTGTAGATTTGACAAGTAAGCACAGACCAGAGAGAAATTCTCAGCTCAGTGAGCAACATAACCTTCATATACACCACTTTTTAAGGTATAGGTAGTTTTATCCTCCCTGTTGTTAGCCGAGACCCCTGTGGATTCTCCCTCTATCCTGGAGAGAGAGCAATTAAAGACTAGAAACATGTTCTACAAAGCCTTGTCAGTTTCGGTAAAAAGGATTTTCCAGATTTCCCCACAAAGACATGCAGAAACAATTGCTGATTTGATTTATATTGATAACAGATTTGCCAAGCAATACTAGTTTAAGACGTTTTTCTAAATTTGCCCTCACAACAAATCAGAAATGGTGATGCAACTTAAACATCTTGGTTCACTTTATTGTTCATCAACTGGGTTGTTGGAGAACATTTAAGAAAGCCGAGTGGAGTTTGGCAAAGCTATAATTTCATTCCTGGGTTCAGGAAAAAAAACAGATTTTTGCTTCTAAGCTTTAAGTAGCACATTCCTCCCATTTTAATGCATTCCTCTCTCAGCAATGCCTGTAGCCCATAGCTGCTTCTCAAGACACTGGTGTGTGTAATAGGGCTGCTTTGGAGGAGCTCTCCCCCAGCTGCCGTGCTAATTGAGGTGCAGAGACGAGCCCCAGCCAGATGGAAGGAAGATGCCGCAAATTGATTCCTCGCATTCGTCTTCATTAAGGTCTCGGCTCTGGGGCGCTGGGAAGAGAAAGTGTGAGAAGGAAAGAGAAAGAAGGGAAGAGAGAGGGAAAGCGGGGCAGAAGAGACCCCCCTCCGGCCCAGAGGACTCTGCTCTGATGAGGTAAATTCTGACTCTACAAAACAGTGTGTGCACTCCCATTTGTGTGTATGTGTTGATATGTGTTAGGGGAAAGAGGAAGGAAGAGAAACCTTGAGCTCCACTCATTCTCTATCAAAAACACCTCAGCATGTACTATAACTTCAGGGCGGTGGGCAGCCACCCTATCCCTCTTGCTTTTCCCTTTCTTACTCTTTTGTGACCCCCAACAGATCAGACCCTACCTTCTCTCAGCCTCCAGCGGTGCTCGACCAGTTCTCCGCCACTTTCAATTATGTGTTAACAGCTTCCACTAGCTAGGGCCCAGAAGGTGCAATGCACCACGGTAGCTCGCTAGAAGAGGCAAATGTTTCATACCATCATCGTATATGACAGTGGGTGTACACACAAAAATGCACACAGTCGCACAGAAGCACCACCCCACATCCACCCCAGTTGACCACACCACTTTTAACCACTCCTCCTGTATCGGTCTCTCTCACAGCCCCAATGATGCAGCGTCTGCAATTACGTGACAACATAGAAAGAATGATCTGTCACTTCCACAAATTACATTCCCCATACTTAATGGGCCCCATGTTTATGTAACGATCCCCTCAAATTTTCACCGTGGGAGCACTAACACTCTGTCTTCCTGCCACGAGCTGGGACTCCACATATCTTTCACTGCATGTTAGCTACCACTGCCCTACACCCAAGGAAATAAATGTACGACAACCTCACGCCCAAACAAATAAAGAACATATCAGTGTTAAGTTTTTGTTTGTTTTTTTTGTGCGTCACAAATATGTATGCAATAAAAATCTTCTGTATAATTTTCACAGTATATTGGGGGAAAAAAAGAGGATTTGTCAGCAATGATAAGCTTTTTGGAGCGTGCTGCACGGCGGTAACATTAAAGGGGATTTTGGATGGGATGGGTTGGCTGGCAGGCCGGGGTGCGAATGCTATAGTTGGTTAGCTGAAGGTGGGAACTTGGCATGGCGGAAGGGGGGTTGCCGTTTGATGTTTCATCTATTATTCGTGCCACGTTACCTGGATTATGTGCCGACTGACTTGCTGGGGGGGGTGGTTACTTAGGCCTGTCACCAAACTGTCTGAAAGGGCTTTTTCATTTCACTGTCTACTTCGCCCACACTTCCTCTCTCAAACACACACCCGTCCTTTTCTTTCCCTGTCATCCTCACCCTTCTCACCCATCCTGTGACATCCTATCACAGACCCAAATCCCTGTTCCTCTTTCTCTTTGTCCGTCCATCCGTCCGTCTATCCTGCTCTCTTTCCTCAGCTCTGCTTTCCTCTGTTCTGTGGTGACATTAAGCAGCTTACCGCATGTCTTGTTGCAGGCTTACAGTGTGCTGGACGCGAAGTTTTACTGTCACTCTGTATATACAGGTACTTTGTGAGTCAGAGCCTCTGTGACTACTTCCACTATGCAGGCTTCTGTGATTTTCGTATCTGACTCAAACCTGGTAACATCATGCAGGGAATTTCAGAGGCATTTCTTCAGCCTCAGAGCTGATGCTATAAATAATTTTTTGGTGTGTGTGTGTATATATAGTCGTCATATTTCATCCAGTTCTCTGTACTAGTTCACCGAATGTAAGCCTTTGCTACCTCTTCCAGTTCTCACTAAAAACCTGGTTCGTGGTTAGCAGCATTAACAATATTTTCAGCAATTGCAAAATGTATATAATATGATGTCTGCCTCTGCCAAAAGAAATCAATCGACGACAAACGTCAGGTTTCTGTTGTTGATTTTCATAATCCTTTGTTTTGTGTTTCACACATTTTACGTACTACTTTCTCGTGGGCAGATTGTATGAAAGCATCTCATGGAAGTCTCATGCAGTTGACAGGTGTCAGACTGACTGACAACTAGCTTTGGAGCACTTCTTGCATATAGACTTCAAGTGGCAGGCTCTGTCTCGTCACTCATGAGCCTGAAGCTTGTGGGTGTCCCTGGCATTGAGCACGTAATTTATATTCTCAGCTCCAGTTGGGTAGTTATTTTCTCCAGTTACTACACTAGCACTCGATTAAATAGTTTATTTCCATAGCGATGTATTTTCATGCATTGTTTTTTCTTTTAATTCAAGTCCCGGTAGTTCATTAAAGTTATATCATCTGTAAGCCCTAGAGCTGTCGGGTTAACTGCAAAATTGAAATACCGCCCTATTACTCAAGCCTGCCGCGGAGGATGGCATGTACCGCAACAACCGCAATGTTCATACTGTACACTTCAGGGCGTGTTAAATTAATAAATGAGTGCTTCAAAAGTTCCACAACTGTAACAAGCTCTGTAACAGTTCAAAGATGGATTGCCATTGGCTGTACGTGACCCGACTTCAAACTCTGAAGCTGTAAGTATTTCCATGTTTTGTGTTGTTTTACTGTTTATTTTAAAGGTTAGCTAACTTGACGTTAGCATATTGCGCGACTAATGTGGCTAGCATGCTCGGCGATGTTGGACTAACGTTGTGATCCTGAGGGACAGTCCAGAGAAACTGTGGACAGTAAGCCTCATTTGAATCTCCCTAACTAAGGAGCGTAGTGTGTCGGAAGCCTGCGGCTGTTTTTCATGTCGCTTTCTGTGGAAATTTAGTTATAACGTTAATACAGCGCAGTGGTTAGTTGTGGACAGCCATTCTGCTCCACACAGGTGTGTGTGTGCATGTGCGTTGCTGCGGTATGTAAATTGACTTGATAGACATGCCCTGAAGGTAATGATATAGCTCTGTCTAAAACAAGTCAACTACCGGTCAAACTACAAAAAGGAGTTTGCTTGGCAATGTTGTTGACTAGCAAGCAGCTAGCTTGCTCAGACCATAAGCTGCCTTTAGCGGCTTGCTGTGCAGTGAGGTGACAGATACAGACACTCTTACTCTGCTATATGGCACCAAATTACTTCATTGATGAAAAATGCGATAATAACGCATACCGCGCTGTTGAGCTCCAACATATTGCCGCGGTGGAAATTACTTCACCTCGACAGCCATAGTAAGCCCTTAAATAGAGCCCTGCATGGCCAAAAACTCCAACCCTAGCCCGACAAAGTCTGACCCCAGCCAGAGACTGACACCAATATCAATTTAAGCTCTCTCTGGTGTGCATTCTCTCTGATGCATGCAAAAACACACACACACAGACATACTACTAAGAGGTAAATTTATTATAAGCCTCAAGCATAACTACCACCTAGAGGCATGCAGTAGAGAATAATGCTCTGCACATATATGGGCACAATGAGAGGAGAGAAATTAAATGAGCGAGTTGTTGTCTCTAGATTGTGTGCGTCAGAGGGAATTTAAGATTGAAGTTAAACTTTTCTTGACATCTCCAAGTTGAGCCTTTTGGCAACTTTAGAGTCTTGAATCACAGTGAGCAGTGTCAGGATGTTGTTTCGATGTTATTTTTCTTGGCCTATTTTTGTTTAGAGGTGAGATGGTGAAAATTATTTTGTAGTAAGTACTTTTATACAGTGGAGAACCAGTGATGATGCTACCATGCAAATGAGTACTGTCCCAGAGCAAACAAGTTGTTTTGTAGAGCATGACAGATCAGTCTTATCAAAGAATATTGACCAATGTATCATTGTCTTATTTTTTTTATACCTCAAATATCAATATTTGTACTGGCCTAAAAAATCCTGCATCTGTTTGGCTTTATAGTATTTTTTGACCTACAACATCTTAAGAAGGTTTAAATAAACACACAAACACTTAATCAGTTTTTTTTCTTCTTTTTGCCAAAAGATAAACAAAAAACAAATTTTTTTCACTTTGGTGGACTGATTGGATCAATATGTTAACACAATACAGTTATTACAAATCAATACACAAAATAAGGATTTGTGTGTGTGTGTGCGCATACATGTACATTTTTCCATTTGCCAAATCAAAATGTTTCCTAACCTGTTAACGCATTTATGTTCTTTGATCTCCTGATATATATCAAACAAATCATAAAGAATATAGCAAACTCTCACAGCTAAGAAGAAGCTATAATAATAAAAAACTGAAAAATAAACTGTAGTGGGTCAACCAGCCCTCATCTCAATCAGGAGGTGAGATCAGATCCGACCAAAGGAGGGATTCTTCCTTTCTCCCCTTTGAGCTGGCTTTTTGACATGCAAAACTAGAGATATCGCCTGATGTTTTGGTAAGGACCTGCATAGACTCAATCAGACATGCATCGCTTAACGATTGTGTATTCAAGAACTCTCCAAACCCCTCTCGCCGTAAAGGTGTCACTGAAGACACTCTGCAGGACAGCAAAAGGGCAGTTCCACCCCTTCTCCCCCCACAGGTTACCTCCTGACATCAAAAGTGCCATGCCGTCTTGTTTCATTCTGAACCTTTTCCCACAGCATGGTTGAGGTCATAAAACACCACTCTCTTCTTTTTCTAGCTGATGTGCAAATGTGATAAGCCACAGGAATGTGAAAGGAGGGACACTAACAATTCCTGCCTTCTTGAGCCAACAAATGTTTCATTTATAAACTGTGTTTTGTTCTGTTTAAGTAATAGTCTTTGTTAAGTTAGTAATGGTGTTTGCCTCTTAGATCTGAGTAGAAATTATCATGTTATTATCCTCTAGCATGATGTTTGAAGCTAAAGAACCATAAGAAAGTAATCTTGAAGAGTTTCCTAACTTCTCCCTATTATCCCATAGTAATCACTCTGTTTAGTGTTTAACTAATGCTTTATCTAAATGTTTTCTTATATAATTTCTTGTTAAAATGTGCATTCACACGTTCCTCTTGTGTTACAATCCAGTTCCCAGTTCAAGTGTTTGAGTTTTAAGTTGAGTATCCACTGTCCTTGCATGGAATCAGAGCTCCACCAAGAGGACAGAAAAGGTATAACACACAAGCGTTTAAAATTCTTCTTATACCGAGAATGAGTGTCGAATATTTATCACAATGTCACTGTATAACGGATTCTTTGTTTAAATGCTTACGTATATTTGTCTCCTGATTTAAAACATGTAACCATCAATTT